CTACTTTTCTGATGGGGCCACAAATGTTTTTCAAGTCTTGGCTTTTATGAATGTTACATTTTGTTGAGTTTTTACACACTTGAGATTTTTGTTTTGTACTTCTAATTGGCTTCTAGTTTTATGTCATTGTGTTTGAAAAAGATACTTCGTGATTTTTTTTAAAAATTTTGTTCCTTTGGAGATAAACAGCACAAGAGTGAGCATATGAGCAGGGGAGGGACAGAAAGGGAGGGAGGGAGAGAGAATCCCAAGCAAGCTCCACACTGTGATTGTGGAGTCTGATGGGGGACTTAAACCCAAGAACTGTGAGATTGTGACCAGAGCCAAAGTCAAGAGTTGGACACTTTTGAGCCACCCAGGCACCCTGCTTCATTGGATTTCAATCTTAAATTTATTAAGATTGATTTTGTGACCCAGCATATAACATATACTAGAGAATGTTCCATATGTACATGAGAAGAACGTGTTTCTTTCACTTGTTGGATGGAATGTTGTAAGACACCTACTTAATGGCATTGAAGTCTGATATTATTGATTTTCTGTCTGGACAATGTACTCATTATGGAAAGGTTCACTATTGAAGTCCCCTGCTAATATATCTTGTCTTTTTCTCTATTCTTGTCTGTTAATAGTTGCTTTATATTTAGGTGCTTTTATGTGGGGCGGACAAATATTTACCAAAGTTCTATCCTTGTGTTGAATTGACTTTTATTTTCTATTATGTCTTTTCTTAAAAAAATTTTTTTATGTTTATTTTTGAGAACAAGAGAGACAAAGCTTGAGTGGGTAGGGTCTGAGAGACAGGGAGACACAGAATCTGCAGCAGGCTTCAGGCTCTGAGCTGTCAGCACAGAACCCGATGTGGGGCTCGAACTCACAGACCACGAGATCATGACCTGAGCGGAAGTAGGCAGCTTACCTGACTAAGCCACCCAAGTGCCCCTTTATTTATTCTTTTTTTAGGGAAAGCTTGTTATATTGCTTAAAAAAACTATAAAAGATATATATATCACCTTATATATATACATATATATTTAACAAACAAAACTAGTTTTTAAAAATAAATAACTCTAATGTATCAAACTTTGACCACATCAACACAACTATCTGATGCACAAAAAGATTATTAAGTAGCTCAGGCAATAAACACAATTAAATGTCTTGTCAATGCAGACACTACATGAATATACAAATCTATTGGTTTAATGTAACACGGACAAATTCTAAATACATGCGAGGATGAAAGGATTCATG